GCACAGAAGTTGATGACGGAGGAGTCATTAATGAAAACTCTCCTAGGGAGACTGAAGCAGACACAATTATTTGTCCATCACCTTGCCCTCTCAGCTCTCATCAATATGGTCCATACTAATGGCTCCTGAGAGCCATTCCTCATCTAAGGATCTTCTCAAGGTTGGTGCACAGTGCAAGCTGGAAGTTTCAGGGCATCCGCATCTCTAGAGAAGCCTCCATTTTAATGTATGGGACTTGGAAGGCAGCTGTGCACCATCCTTACCTGGAGTAGAACAACCCTATCTATCGTCGTCCTAAGATCCCCAGCTGACTAGACTCCAGTTGCCCAAACCAACACACTGTTCACTAATGCACTCGGCCTTAACGTCTCTCTTCTCCAGGTCACTTCCCATTCCCAGACCAGTGCTTCCTAGGTCACCCTCCAAGTAGAGTCATCCATAATGATGTGGATGAAGCCAAACCTGTGGAGTAAAGCCTTCAGAACCTTCATTTGCTGGTGGGGCATGACTTTAAAGATGAGAAGAAACAGCTACAAACATCTATGAATAATTGGAGCCAGGCATATACGAAAGACGATTGGAAGTAGTAAAAAATGAAACGGGATACATAAAGATGGATATCTTTGGCATGAGTGAGCAGAAATGGACTGGTATTGGCCATTTTGAATCAGGCAGTCATGTGGCTGACTATGCTGTGAATGACAGATTCAAGAGGAATAACAATGCATTAATAGTCAAAAGGACATTTCAACATCTATTCACATACAAGAAACTCCAGTCGATACAACTATTATTCAAATTTATGCACCAACCACTAAAGCTAGTGATGAAGAAATTGAAGAATTTTACCAAGATCTTGGTCCAAAATTGATCAAACATGCAATCGACATGCATTGATAATTATTGGCAATTTGAATGCAAAACTTAGAAACAAAGAGGAAGAAAGTCGGTGGAAAATAGGGCCTTGGTGCTCAAAATGAAACTGGAGATCACAGAATTTTCCAAGACCGACAACTTCATCACAAATATCTTTTTTCAGCAACACAAAAGGCAGCTATGCACACGGACTTCTCCAGATGGATTTCTCCAGAAATTGCATTGACTGTGTCTGTGGGAAGAGACAATGGAGAAGCTCAATTTCAGCAGCTGAAACCAGGCCAGGGACTGACCGTGGACCAGATCATCGATTGCTCATATTAAGTTCAGGTGAAGAAAATGAAAACAAGTCTTTGCGAGCCAAAATATGACCTTTGAGTATATCCCATCTGAATTTCTAGACCATCTCAACTGATTTGGCATATTGAATACTAATGACAGAAGCCCTGATGAGCTGTGAGATGACGTAAAAAACAACATCCATGAAGAAAGCAAAAGGTCACTTAAAAGACAGGACAGAAAGAAATGATCAAAATGGAAGTCAGAAGAGTCTCCGAAACTTGTTTTAAATTGTAGAGTATAAGATAAATGGAAGAAATGATGAAGTCAAAGGCTGAATAGAAAAAGGCAAAGGACAGCTTGAGAAGCAAAGCATTATAAATGAATGTGCAAAGACCTAGTTAGAAAACCAAAAAAAGGAAGAACATGCTTAGTGTATCTTAAACGGAAAGAACTGAAGAAAAAATTCAAGCCTCAAGTTGAAATATTGAAAGATTCTATATTGCATATGACATGCAAGTAAGATTTTGCTAAAGATCACTCAACAATAGATGCAGCAGTCCATTGACAGGAAGCTGGCAGAGTTTCAGGCCAGATTCAAAAGAGGATGCGGAACAAGGGATGATGCTGATGTCTTGGGTGAAAGCAGAGAAAACCAGAAAGATGTTTGCTTGTGTTGTATTGACTATGCAAAGGTTGTGTGGACCATAACAAACTATGGATAGCCTTGAGGAAGGTGTAAGTTCCAGATTACTTAATTGTGCTCATGCAAAACCTGTACATGGATCAAAAGACAGTTGTGGGAACAGAACATGGTTTAAAATCAAGAAAGGTGTGTGTAATGTTTGTATCCTATTGCTATATGTATTCAATCTGTATGATAAGCAAATAATCAGAGAGGCTGAATTATCTGAAGAAAAACACGGCACCAGGATTGGTGAAGGTTTCATTAGCAACCTGTGAAATGCACATCTGCATATTACACCCTTGCTTGCTGCAAGTGAGGAGGAACTGAGGCACTTGCTGATGAAGATCAAGGCTTGCAGCCTTCACTGTGGATTTACTGGTCAATGTAAAGAAGACCACAATCCTCACAATTGGACCAATAGGTAATATTGTGATAAATGGAGAAAAGGTTGAAGTTGTCAAGGATTTTGGTCTTGCTTAGATTCACAATCAACGTGCATGGAAGCAGCAGTCAATAATTACAATGATGCATAGCACTGGGTAAATCTGCTATACAAGATATCATTAAAGTGTTGAAAAGGAAGGATGTTACTGTGAGAAGTAAAGTGTGCCTGACCCAATGTTCCTTAGCAGTAAAGATGGTGAGATTTGGTCTCACATACTTTGGACGTGTTATCAGGCACTATCAGTCCCTGGACAAGGGCATCATGCTTGGTAAAGTAGAACTCACTACCATTGACTGCTAGTGACCCCTGTGGGTTTCTGAGACTGTAACTGTTTATCTGTAACGGTTTATGGGAGTAGAAAGCCCACTCTTTCTCCTGAGGAGCTGCTGGTGGTTTTGACCTGCTAACCGTGCAAATAGAAGCCCAATGCATTGCTACTACACCACTAGGGCTCCTGGTAAAGTAGAGGGGCAGGGGAAAGAGGAAGGGAGACCCTCAACAAGATGGATTGCAACATGGACTCAAACATAACAATTGCGACAGAGGTGCAGTGTTTTGTTCTGTTCTACACAGGGTGACTGAGCCGGAACCGACTCGATGGCACCTAACAGCAAGCACAGAGGAGTGAGGGCTAAACCTAAATCACTTCTGAGTTATAAAAAGAGTAGAATATTTAGGGCCAAGACCCTGAATTAGATTTTTAGTCTCCAAAACTATGAGAACATAAATTTGTGTTCACAAAAACCACCCACTTGTGATAGTTCTATTACAACAGCTAACAGCAGCTGTGGAGGTAAGATATCTGCCTCCTCAAGAAGAGAAACCGGTCATAGCTACCCTTCTCGCCTCCTCTTTCTCCTGTCCCAAAAGGTGACCCAAAGCTGTAGAACAAACAAAATTCCATTCCTCCACCACACAGAAGATTGTATCTCTAATTCAGAGCCTAGAACTTCAGGAAATTTTGAAGTTAATTGAAGACAGAGGTTGCAAACTGGAACTGAGCGGACCGAATTGAGTCCCAGACAAATGACGACTTCACCTTTCTGTCACTTGGTTTCTTTTCCCAAGTAAAACCATAGGGTTGACAGCGTGTGAGATGTAATAAATGTGAGTTTGTTTTAATATTTTATTGTCAATTGGGTGAAAGTTTACAGAGTAAATCCATTTTCTATTCAACAATCTGTACACATTTTTATGTCATTAATTACTACTCCCACAATGTAATATATTCCACCTTATCCCACCTTCTTGTTTTTTCTTTTACCGGTCCGCCTTTCCTAACCTGTCTGAACTTTAATTTCAGGTAAATGCTGCCCTTCTAAACTCAAATGGTTGACTATTCTAAGGTGTTTGTACCTCTCTAGTGTCATTGTTCTCCTTATAGGACCACCTACCGATTGGTCGATGTTGATCTGTGAGTGTGAATGTCCAGATCTGAAGGGTGACTAGGGCCACAGTGTCAGTTGTGCCGCTAGTTTTTATCCAGCCAGTAAGCCTAGTCTTTCTGGTGATTTTGAGTTTTGGGCTACACTTTTCTCTCACCAGGGCCTTCTAATGGGATTTCTTTCCAAGCAGTTAGTAATGGTACCCGGGCACCATCTACTTTTTCTGGCTTCAAGGTCATCGCGGCTGGTGTTTTTGTAGTCTATGAGTTCCTTGGACTGTTTCCATACAACTTCAGTTGTCTTCACTCTTCTCTCCTCTGAACAGGGAGAGGTCAGCACTTGCACCCTAGGGGCTCCTGAGCTGTAAAGACCTCAATCACTGCTCACCAAGGTAGGATGTAGAATATTACCTTTGTGGACTGTGTCACCCCAATCGACCTCCATGTCCCCCAAGACTGTACTCCTGAGCCCTCAGGTCCAGCAACTCTTTCCTCAAGGTGTTTGACTAGGTGATTATCATGATTAAGGAGTTTTCATAACTTTGACCACTGCGTGCTCCACCATATTCATGAATGTAATTGCAGCAAAGGTGTGGGAAACAGAAAGATTTCTCTCAAGTCGTCTCCCCCCAAAATTATGTTAGATTTAGGGTACTGCTGGCAACTAATGGTAAATGATTGTCAAGTTACCGCCCTAAAGACAGTCAGTTGCCAGACAACTGTCTGGGCCCACCACAGGTGGAGCCCACTCCCTGCTGTTAAGGACAATGGGCTACTTCTCCCTAAAAGCTTGCAGTCATTGGTTTGGTTCCTGTAGGTGGGGTTTATACCGTACTGAACAGGTCATACCGGCTCAGTGATATCCAGAATTAAACTGCCTCCCTGAATCTCTGATCCGCCCATCTTGTCACATGTGTACCCCCATTACCTCCCCTTCCTATTACGTGAATACCCCTAGATCACCCCCCTCCCAATACTGTGAGAATTGCAAAATGGAGACTCACTATTGCTGCTCATCCCCAAACCAGCAGACTCAGGCAGAGCCCTGTGCTAACCTTCCAAACCCGGGTTCCACTTCAAGCTAGCTGCTCTTTGAGCAAGCTCCTCCTCGTCTCTAAACTTACTTTTCCCAGGGGTCAAACTAACTCAAGAATAAGGGGAGTCCGCACCCACAAGCAAGTGCTGAGATGGAGACTGTGTCATCCCCCAAGGCCCCTGATTCCAGTCCCTCAGGAGAGCTGCGAGGTTTGGTTCCAAACCCTTGTAAACATCACCTCTAGGAAAGACAACAACCACAGGACTCCAAGATGATCTAGATGCATGTTTTATTGTCATTCGTATGATTATTATTGATGAGGGGAAAGTGCCTACAGGGTTATGTACAGGCCACGACTTCCAGGTAGATGTTAAAGTCTTCCTGTCTCCACACAGGCAATTCCACAGCTCCCGCACTGCACCTGGGGCATGTCTCTGTAGATGCTTCCCTCAAGCTAACACGGCTGTGCTTCAGGGCTCTGAGGATGCCCACCCACAAAACGATCTTGGTCCTGGGCTGAAGTTTACACAGGATGAATCCTCCTGATGGGGCACAGTGTGGGAGCGGAATTGGGGCCTCCCAGCTGCCACCTCCCCTCATCCTTCACTAGCTACTTGCCCCAGAGACACTCTACCCTACTTTGGAAAACTCTTCAAAGACACAGAAAGGTTAGGCTGAGGAAGGGGATTGGGCCTGTGAGGTGTGGGTGGGAGGAAAGAGCTCAGAGATCTGCCTTCTTGTCAGTGGTGTGGAATGAGGTAATGAGGGGCTTTCACTCAGGGGCTGGCTTATGTCCCTGAAGGAGAGAAATAAGGCCAGGGCCCTACGGGATGGGGTGCACAAGGGGCTCAGGTTTTATGATCAGGACTCTAAGAAAGGAGGGCAAGATGGAGTCATTAAGAGAGTAGGGCATACAGAACTTAGGGTACTCTTAGACTCCCCGAATTCACTTTTACAGGGAAATGGGCTTATTCTTCTAGGGGTTCCCTGGTCCAGGTTGCCCGTCGCCCAGGATGTTGTCGCTTCTGCTTGGCTCCCTGGCCCCTGCTTAGGTCACCCAGGTCAATCAGGAAGGTTGCCTGGTCACAGGCTTCCAAGGGCCCACAGGGCCCTGCCAAGGCCCGCCTGCCAGGATGCTGGCGTTTCTCAGGCACCAGCTCTCCCTCCTCTTCTTCCTCTTCCCCTTCCCAGCTCCCTTGTGCCTGGGGATCGACCAGCATGGTGAATCTTTTGCCTGGATGTTGCCGCTTGGTGACAATGTACCCAAGCCAGGGAGAGCGCCGGCCAGGGTGTTGCCGCTTGTTGCGGGTTACATCAGCTGACCAGGAAGCCTCAGCCGCCCTACGGCCAGGGTGCTGTCGTCTCTGGAGTCTCACGGCGTTTCCATTTTCTTCCTCCTTTTCCGCTCCCTCTTCTACCTCTTCCTCTCTTTTGCCTGGATGCTGACGCTTGGAAAGCCAGTCAAGCGGAAGGGCATGGGGTTCTGGGGAAGGAAAGAGACTGGTGAGAGACCTGTGACAGGTGGCCCTACATGAGTGCCACCCCAGCTTTGCTGCCAGAAAAGACAGACTCCCGGAGGCACCTACCCAGGATCACGTCCCTGCACTTACCTTTCCCATCTCGCAGACACACAGTGACATAGCATCCAGTCCCCACTACCCAGCTGTGTACCTTTAAGCAGCTAGCTAACTTAACCTCCTATGGTTTCAGTTTCCTGCATATAAAATGGTGTGATAATAGCACCTATCTCAGAGGTTGTTTGGGAAGATCAGATAAGGTGGCTGAGGTGCCCAGCGACCTAACATATAGTCATTAAACCTGTCACACACAAAGACACCCTCTTGAATGCACAAAACCTTCCCCATTGAATTTCTGTTCCCTGGGAAACCTTTCCAACTATGAGATGGGGAGGAGGCTAAGCCTCCTCCTCCCCCAGAGAAGGGCTCACTCATGGCCTTCATCGTGGTGAAAGTGACCAGGGAGCGCTCTCAGCTTCTGCAGTGCAGGAGGTTGGAAGATCAAGTCGCTCTCCCTCTCTGCATTTCAGGGTCTCCCTAGCTTAAAGACGCCCTACTGGCGCCCGCCCACCTTGTGGCCCCAGTAGGGCCAGCACAACCTTCTCCACCTCACCTGCGTCTTGCTCACCCTGGTCCAATGGCAGGGGCTGGAGGTCTTCCTGGAGGAGGAGGAGGCGCTCCGCCTGGAGCAGGAGGTCCTGCAAGCTTGCCTGCTTGGTTGCCCGCTGCTGGAGCGCCGCCGGCTGGGCGCTGCCAGGAACACTGGTCAGGGTCAAAGCCAAGGCGAGCAGCAACCAAGGGCTCGGCATCGCGGCGCCTAGGACCCGGGACAGAGGAAAAGGGTGAGCTCGCCGCCGCCCTGCCCAGCGCTCTGGGTCTCCCCACTGCCTCTCCTAGCCGGTCCCGAGGCCCGCTGCTCGGGGAACGAACCAAGGACCGAACCTTAGCGCGGGGCGGGGGAGGGGGAGGACTGCGAGGGTCCATCCCCGGCTCCGGGTCCACGCCTGTCATCCCCAGGCGGCCTTGGAACCCCCTGGCGCCTGGGGAGCCAGAGCGGGGGCACCCTCGCCAAGGCCCGTCAAACTCTGGGCGTCGAGGGCTTTTGGCCGCGGGGCTCGGATTCTCCCCAGGGCTCCGACCGCCAGCGGCGTTGTCAGAACCCCGAGTCGCGACGCCCAGACACTCAGCCCACCGCCAGGATCCATTCCTCTTGCAGCCCTCGTGTTCGGGATTAGCCCACACCCTCTCGGGAGCGGAGGGAGAGTCCCTCTGGAACGAATGCTGAGCGTCTACCTGGAGGGATCGAATTTTAACGCGCAAGCCTTCATTTCGACGCAACAAGTAGCTCACTTGCCCGAAGAGCTGCGCTGGGTTCAGATCCCACCGCGGGAAGTCCCAGCCCAGTCCTGCCCCGGTCACCCGGCCCGGCCACCGCGGGGACCCTCCCGGGGGCGGGCCCCAGGAGCAGAGGGCGCCAGGGGAGCGCCCGTCCGCTGGCCCCGGGGCTGCGCTCCAGGGAGTCCCTGGGGTGGGAACTCGGTGCTCCGGGAAGGGACCCTCCAGCCTCTCTCGCAACAGCCAAGCCCCCCACCGAAACCGAGGGGCAAGCGCAGAAGGCTCCGGACAAACACTTGCAGGGGCCCGGGGGGCGGCGGGGGTTACCGGCGCGGGCTCCGTGGAGCAAGCAGGTCCCGGGAGCAGGGTTGGGGGTCCGGAGCTCAGTGATCCACGACCTGGAGGTAGGAGTGCGGGAGCGCCGGCAGGTCCGGGCTCTGGCTGCCCGCTCCTCGGCGGGGCCGCCTCTTATACTCGCCCGCGAAGGGGGCGCTGACGGCAGCCAGTTCCCCGGGACGGCAGCCCGATCCGCGGCCGGAAATCTGGGGCGGGGTAGGGCGCAGCTGGAGGCAGGAGCGGCGGGCCGGGTGGGGTCGTTTCTGCCCCCAGTTCCGGAGGAGGTCTGCTAACGAAAACACTTGGGTAGGGGGGCAACGAGGGAGACTGTGACACACACAGACTCACACACACACACACACACACACACACACACACACACACAGACTGGGAAACAGAGAGAGAGATGCCCAGCCGACATCCACCCGAAGAGACAGAAACCATGAGAGACAGAAAGTGGGGGCCAGCAGGAACTGGGCTCCCACCTTGCCTGCCTCTCTGGCGAATGCCCCCCTCTCTCTGAGCCTCGGTGTTCTCACCTGTAGAATGGGGGGGGGGGTGTTTCTACAACCAGTCTTTACACCGTTTTGAGGAGAGAAACAAGCAAAACATATGGAAGACCCAACAGTTAAAAACCAAGAGCCTGGAAGAGAACATTGGGTTAGGGTTTTTCTTTGAGAATTGTATGGCCACATCCAGCTGGAGTTCAGCCTGCTGCGGTCCCTGGTCACCACATCCCCCACCGCGCCCCCACCCCAAATCCCAACTCACCATGGTAGAGTAGATTCCGACTCACAGAGACCTGAGAGGACAGAGTAGAGCTGCCTCTGTGGGCTCTTCCAGAGTAAAAAACCATCCTGTTTTTGCTTTTCTGCCTTTTGTTTGCTTGTTACTGTTTTTGCTTTTTGGGGTTATTTTTGTTTTGTTTGTTTGCTGGTTAGTTTGTTGCTGTTGTACGTGGTCTTACAGGATTTTGATTTTGTCATATTACAATCACCAAAGTAAACCTGAATCGTGCATAACCCGTGGACAAGCAGATGGAGTCTGGGCTCCCATTTAACAACAGCCCCATCCAAGAACAGTTAGTTCTGATAACAGGGCCCTACTCAATAATCACCTTCATGAAATGATCACTGAAGATAAGGGTGCTACAGCAAAGTGTGATGAAGAAAGCAGATGGTGGTTGGCTATCAACCAGAATAGTGTCTGGGGTCTTAAAGGCTTGTATTCAAACAAGCAGCCATCTAAGTGAGGCATCAACTAAGTCTACATGGAAGGAGCACACCAGCCTGTGTAACCCAAGGATGACAGTCACAAAATCCAAATATGATGAAGGGAAAAGTATCAGAGCTTAAATTCTGAACAACCAATTTGTAGAAGGCTAGGAGGACAGTGGGAGCCCAAATCATCTGCAGAGTATCTAGTCAGATTAAGCCTCTGGCAGATCCTCTCTAGCCACAGGCAAGGGACTCAAACAGCTTCACTATTGGAGTGCCTTGTAAACTTGATGAGGCTGGATCAAACTTGGTACTTGGCCAGTTGATCTCCCTCTTGACTCAACCTGAATTTATTCTAGGCTCAAGTATTTCGTGCTTGTTCAATGACAAAAATTTCTTCCCTGGATTTTTAAATATTGATGGTGGTCTTCTCATTATTTGTATTATTATTTTATCCTTACCACTTTATTTTGTTTTACTTTTTATTGTTTCGGTTGGGTTCTCCAGTTTGTGAAGCAGAGGAGTAGAGGCATAGCGACTGAGGCAATGGTTTATCAGAAATGTAGAAGTGGGGGTGGGATATAGGGAGGGCGAGGGGATTTGAGGAGCAAACAATGAATGCAGGAGGGGAAGGGTTGAGCACTGGAATTGATTGTGATTATGTATATACAACTCATTTTAAAAGCGATTTAACCATGGAAGTGTATGACATGTGAATACTATATCAAGAAAACCACACGCAAAAAAAGAAAAAGAAAGAAAGAAACCAAACTTGACCAATGGTTACCATAGATGAAGGGGAAAGAGTTGTTGCATCAGGGGCATTGAGTGTCTGTCAGTGGTGTTAGGGTAATGTGGAAAAGGATATCAATCGTGCTTGTACAACATGAAGAGTGTAATCAACGACACTGAATTACACAAGTAGAAGTTATGGAATTGGAGAATGTGCTGCTGTGTATATTTTTTGCCACAATTAGAAAAGAATAATAACATGAATAACAATGACTATGAGGAAGAAGAAAATGCTCTAGAATTGAATATGGTAACAATTGTACAACTCTTCTTGATATGACTGAATTGTATGGCATGTGGATGAAGTGCTAATAAAACTTTAAAAATAAAAGCCCCTCTTTCTCTGTGGTGGTTTCCAACCACTGACCTTGTGGTAAGTCGCTCAATGTTTAACCCACTAGGTCTTACAACTCCTTACTATCCCCTGTACTGGAGTCTGCGACACCTGGACTAGAGAGCTGCTGAGGTCCACCCACACAGCCAAAGTGGGGGCAGGGATGCACGGAGGAGAAAGGCATGGAGTGGGGGGGGCAAGCCCTAAAGTCCCAACACTCTCATGACACTGTGTGAAGGAGCACAGCTACTGCCAGCCATGCACACAGCCGTCAGGTGCAACTTCAGGTATGAGAAACTGGCCAGGTCAACTCAGCAGGAGCAGCACTTAGGGAAGAGAGAACAAGACCGATGGTGGCGTCACCTACCTGTGGACAGTGCTAATGTTACTCTGTTCCTCCTTGCAACATGTCTTCAGTCTAAAACTTTAATTGAGCATTACTATATGTCCCCAACAGCTGGTGCTGTTTAATTGTTATTCCTTCCTTTGGTGGAGCACCCAATTTTGCCTGGCGTATCCATACCCACTGTCTCATTGCAGCCTCACGCCGGCTGGCAGATAAACACGGTAGAAACTCATAGTCCCACTTTGCAGATAGGCACACAGAGTCCTGGGGAGGCAAAGTGACTCTCATGTTTGTTGTGGAATAACATTTCATTGTGTTTCTGGTGAAAGTTTACACAGATAATTCAATTTTCTTTTTTTGAAAGTTCAATTTTCGTTCAACAATTTCCACTCAAATTGATCAGTAACCTGAGTGACTTTTTGTGGTTCCTGTTCATACTGTGTCTCCGCATTCTCTTGACTTGTATTTGTGTTCTGGTTGTTTTTCTAGCTCCAGTATGCTAGTTTGCCTGCCCTGCCCCTTATCTTCTCATCTCCTTTCGTGTAAGTGTTGACTGTTGGCTTCATAGAGATTTATTGTTTTAGTAAAGTACTGGTTTTATGGGTAATATCCTTTGTCTGATGTACCACTATGCTATTTCACTAAAAGGTGATTTCAGGGGCTAGTTTTAGTTTAAGCTTTCAAGAGTGTCTCAGGGTGATAGAGTCTCAGGGGGTCCTCTGCTCTTAACTAGCTAAAGTAGTCTGGTCTTTACAAATATGTTATTGCTATTATTATTATGATGATGATGATGATGAACTGAGTGAAGGCTTACAGAGCAGATCAGTTTTCCATTTAACAATCTATAGACTTCGTTTCATGTTGTTGGTGGCAATTCCCATAATGCAACATCACCACCTCCTTCTGTGTCTTCTGTTTCATTCTTTCTCGTTTCTTAACTCTCCTGAATCTTGACCTTGGGTAAATGCTGCCCATTTGATTATTCTCAGGTAAGAGTACCACCCTAGTGTCATTGTTTCCCTCGTAGACCTGTGTATTGTTTAGCTGAACACTGAGCTCTGTGGATAAGTTTATTTCCAGACCTGAAGGGTGACTAAGGTACATAGTCTCAGTCATTCTTCCAACAAGGAAACCTGGACTTTAAAAAACCATTTTATTGGGGGCTCTTACAGCTCTTATCACAATCCATACATACACTCATTGTGTCAAGCATATTTTTACATATGCTCCTATCATCATTTTCAAAACATATTCTATTTACTTGAGCCCTTGATATCAGCTCCTCATTCCTGCCCCACCCCCCATAACTCCTTGATAATTTGCTGGGTTTTTTCCCCATGACTTACACCAACCGCTGTCTCCCTTCACCCACTTTTCTCTTGTCCATCCCCCTAGGAAGCAGTTATATGTCCAACATTGTGATCGGTTTCCCCTTTCTCCCCCACCTTCCCCTTACCCTCCTGGTATGGCTACTCTCATTATTGGTCCCGAGAGGTTTATCAGTCCTGGATTCCCTATATTGCGAGGTCATATCTGTACCAGTGTACATGCTCTGGTCTAGCCAGATTTGTAAGGTAGAATTGGGGTCATGATAGTGAGGGGGGTGGGGTGGGGAGGAAGCATCAAAGAACTAGAGGAAAGTTGTTATGTCTCATCGGTGCTATACTGCACTCTGACTGGCTAGTCTCTTCCTGTGACCCTTCTATGAGGGGATGAGCCTGGACTTCTTTTATTTTGAGTTCTGTTTCCCATCCCCCCCACCACCACCCCTACCCAAGACCTTCTAATGTGATCCCTTTGAGAGTAATGGGTAGTAGTAGCCAGGCACCAGCTAGTTCTTATGGTCTCGGAGTCATGGGGACCAATGCCTGCGTGGTCCATTAGCTTGTTAGATTAATTTTTTCCAAGTGACTTCAATTTCTTTCAATCTTCTTTCCTCTGTCGGGGAGAGACCAATAGTTGTATCTTAGATAGCTGCTCACGAGCTTTTAAGATACCCATGTCTATTCACCAAAGTAGGGTGTAGAACACTGTCTTTGTAGATTATGTTATGTGAATTGACCAAGACTATAGTCCTGAACCCCCAGACCCAGCAACTCATTTCCTCCAGGTGTTTTGTTATTCCAATGAAGTTTTCATTCATTGCTTTGCCCACTGCAGGCTCCACCCCATTCAGACATACATTTGCAGCAAAGGATCATGTCGTTGTCAAGTGCCACCCGGTCGGTTCCAACTCATGGTGACCCTGTGCACCACAGAACGTAACACCACCTGGTCCTACTCCATCCCCACAATTGTTGCTATGCTTGACCCCATTGTGACAGCCACTGTGTCGCTCCGTCTCATCAAGCACCTTCCTATTTTTCACTGCCCCTCCACT